CCAAGCTCTAAAGTCTAGTCTAGAGTGTTTCTCATAGAACGTGCCTTTCCAGTGCAGGGATTATTATACTGTTGGAACGTGAGCTGTCCTGGGGTCTGTGCAGGGAGTTCTACCATTGAGGGTGTTAATTTCCTTCTTTTAAACATTAAGCAGTCCTGCTCACTCTAAACTCAGAGCGGGGAGTGCTGAGGCCAGTTAGGGTGTTAGGGACAGATGCATCTGGACAGGAGGCACTGGGAACACACAGATCTGGGTTCAGATTCCACCTCTGGCCCTGACTGGCTGTGTGACTCTGGGTAAACCCTGAGCATGACCCTATCAGTCACCACCACATACGATTGTAGGGAGGGTCCTGAGCCCTTTGCACAGCACCTGACCCCTTGTAGATACCCACTAGTGGGGGCTGCTGTCATTATGTCTAATCTGCAGAATAGATATAATAAGACCTATTTTGTGAAAATGAGATGTAATGGATGTGATGAACCTGGCATATAGTAGGTGCCCAGTAAATACATGTGGCAACAATATTATCACACTATAGGGTGGCCCTTCCTGCCAGCCTCCCCTGTAACCTCCCTCCCACTTACCTGTCCTAGACCTGAGATTCCACTGTTAGAGATTCATTCTTTGGGATAGGCACTCACATTTTAGAGCTTCAGTTTATCCATCAATCTTTGGAAAAGCCTTTCTAGCTGTAAGACTCGGATTAATCCAAAATTTCTCTTTCTGGACACAAATCCTCTGGGATGTGAAACATGGTACTTTGGCAAGGCTGAGATGTGGGTCCCAGGGGCCACAGTCCCCACCAGGAGTGGGAAGGGACAGAAAGGAGAGTCAGGGCTGTGTCTGAGACAAGCGTCTCTTCACACTCCCCACCTGGGGCCAGGCTGGCAGAGCAGGTGACGGAAGGTCTGATGGGGGCATGAGCTCACCAGGAAGGACTGGCAGAGCAGGGGAGGTCCAAGCGAGGAGAGGCATGAGCTGTCAGCCGGATTCTTTCCACGGGCAGCTGTGAAAGCGGGCGTGCCAAGGGCATGGGCCTGGAGAGGGATTAGCCTGTCCGTTGGGAATTTTTGGAGGGTTTATTTAGCTTGAGAAGTGTCCCTGAGTTTGGGTCAAGCATAAGGAACACCTGCCATGAGCCACTCACCTACTACACGCTGGGTACCAAGCAGGTGCTTCACACGTGTGTTCACAGTTAGGCCTTAGGAGCCCTTTTAGACAAGGGACATGAACTCCCTTCTATATAGTGATGATGGCACTAATAACAGCGGTTTTAAATGCTGTCACTTGTAAAACACCTATTATCTGCCAGGTACCGGCTTAGAAGCTCACAACGGTGCCTAGCACCACCGTGGGAGGCACTCAGTCGGTTTTTTTTTTGATGGGGGTTTTGCTCTGTCTTCCAGGCTGGAGTGCAGTGGCACGATCTTGACTCACTGCAACCTCCATCTCCTGGATTCAAGCCATCCTCCTGTCTCAGCCACCCAAGTAATTGGGACTACAGGTGCTTGCCACCATACCCAGCTAATTTTTGTGTGTTTTTTAGAGACACAGTTTTGCCATGTTGCCCAGGCTGGTCTGGAATTCCTGGGCTCAAGTGATCTGCCCACCTTAGCTCCCCAAAGTGTCAGGATTACAGATGTGAGCACTGTGCCAGGCCCAGTGTTCGTCATTATTGATATTATTTTGCATTACTATTATTATTTGAGATGGAGTCTTTCTCTGTCACCAGGCTGGAGTGCAGTGGCGCGATCTGGGCTCACTGCAACCTTTGCCTCCCGGGTTCAAGCAATTCTCCTGCCTCAGCCTCCCGAGTAGCTGGGACTACAGGCGCGCACCACCACGCCCAGCTAATTTTTGTATTTTTAGTAGAGATGAGGTTTTACCATGTTGGCCAGGACGGTCTCGATGTCTTGACCTTGTGATCTGCCTGCCTCGGCCTCTCAAAGTGCTGGGATTACAGGCGTGAACCACTGCGCCAGGCTTATTTTGCATTTTTTAAAGAGTTGGATTATACCTACAGAAAACTGGCTTAAAAATATATGAACAGGTTAACAAATGTTTGGGAAGGTCGCACACCTTGGTAGACACTGGCCAGGCAAGGAACAGAGCCTGGTCAGCCCCCCAGACCTGCACATGCCCCCTCTCTCAGCCCCTCCCTCCCTATAAAGGAGGCCACCACCCTGACTTCTCTGGTGATCCATTGCGCGACTTCCTTTAAAGCTTTGCAAGCCTCAGCGTGGAGCCCTAAACACCATAGTTCCATTTCATTTTGTTTTGTTTTGTTTCTTTCCAACTTTACATCAGTGAAAACATGCAGGATGTGCTCTTTGGAATTCGACTGCCTTTGTTCCACGTACGCTTTCCAAGGTTCATCCGCATGCCTGCACTTGCAACATTAGCCGGTTCATTCTTGTTGCTGAAATAGTTAGCTGCTGTTATTCTTATTGTTATTCTTATTATTATTTTGAGACAGAGTCTTGCTCTGTCGCCCCGGTTGGAGTACAGTGGCGCGATCTCAGCTCACTGCAACCTCCGCCTCCTGGGTTCGAGATTCTTATGCCTCAGCTTCCCAAGTAGCTGGATTGCAGGCAAGTGCCACCATGCCCAGCTGATTTTTGTTATTTTTAGTAGAGATGGGTTTCATTACATTGGCCAGGATGGTCTTGAACTCCTGACCTCAAGCAGTCTACCCGCCACAGCCTCCCAAAGTGCTGGGATGACAGGCATGAGTCACCGAGCCCAGCTGGTTATCTGTTATTGTGATCCTTTTTATTTTCTTGGTGCACAGCATCTGATGACCTTCTTACCAGTATCTCAGAGGGGCAAAGATGATTGATATCCCGTCTTCCACTGAGGAGAGGGAGGCTCCTGGGAGCCAGGTCCCAAACCCCACCTGATTCCAGAGCCTGTGTTCTTAGCCACTCTCCGGTGTGGCCTCTCAACAGAGGAGGAAAAGGGGGCACAGAGCGGTTAAGCAACTTGCCTGGGTTTGCCCAGCAGGGATGTGATGGAGCTACCTCCCCAGACCCTCGGAGCTGACGCTGGAATGCCCCTGTGGCCTCTGAGCGTTGCTGGCTCTGTGGCCATCCCAAGGGTGATTTATGGTGGCTCAGGGCCCATACACTTTTAGGGCCCACAGACACATTTTAATTTCTTTTAAAACCAGAAGAAAAAAACTGGTGATATAATAATAATAATAGTGGATCACAAATCCAGCCTGGATTTTACCCGTCTTTATACAGGGTAGTCACAAGCTAGGAGGAAGGGGCCCCAAAAGCAAATGTCCCTCGAGCTTAGGAAAGCCATCTTTCCACTGAGCCAGCTCCATCTCTTGCAGGAACAAGATGTTGCTGTGGCGAGCAGCCGGCCACTCCCGGTGCGGAGGGACCTGGGAGAAGCTAGAGCAGCTCTGGCCTTGTTCCTGCCCTGCGGTCCACAGCCTTGTCTCCGTCTAGCATCCATGCCCCCAACCATCCAGAACCCCTCTTTCCAAAGCCTCTGGGATGGCAGGGCGACTGCAGGGCTTGGGATCCCACAGGACCAATGAGTGGGGAGAAGTCTGCAATTTTGAGACTGAAGGAACAAGGCTTGTCGTTACGTTGACACTGAAAATAGCTTTATGCTTCCACTCAGTGCCAGCTGAGTCACAGCCCTACTGACATCTCCTGTCCTTCAGGGCTTCCCAAATTTCATTTCCCAAACACACGCTCCTGGCCTTTGCCCTATCTATTCTCCTTATCGTACACTTGATTTTTTAATGAACTCTCTACTTCCTTCCTGCCCTCCCTCCCTGCCTCCTTTTCTTCTTCCTTCCCTCCCTTCCTCCTTCCTTCCTTCTTCTTTCTTCTTTTTTTTGAATGGAGTTTCACTATTGTTGCCCAGTCTGGAGTGCAGTGGTGCAATCTTGGCTCACTGCAACTTCCACCTCCACCTCAAGTGATTCTCCTCACTCAGTCTCCCTAGTAGCTGGGATTACAGGTGTGCACCACCACACCTGGCTAGTTTTTGTATTTTTAGTAGATACAAGGTTTCACCCATTTACCAGGCTGGTCTTGAACGAACTCCCTTCCTTCCGTCCGTCCTTCCTTCCTTCCTTCCTTTCTTCCTTCCTTCCTTCCTTCCTTCCTTCCTTCTTCCTTCCTTCCTTCCTTCCCACCTACAGGCAGTGGCTCATGCCTGTAATCCCAGCAGTTTGGGAGGTCGAGGCAGTGGATCACTTGAAGTCAGGAGTTCGAGACCATCCTGGCCAACATAATGAAACCCTGTCTCTCAGCTAAAATTAGGTTTTGAAATAAAAAAAGAAAGAAAGAAAGAGAAAGAAATCCTGTCTCTACTAAAAACACAAAAATGAGCCAAGCATGGTAACGGGCACCTGTAATCCCAGCTACTCGGGAGGCTGAGGCAGGAGAATTGCTTGAAGCTGGGAGGTGGAGGTTGCAGTGAGCTAAGATGGCACCACTGCACTCCAGCCTGGATGACAGAGTGAGACTCTGTCTCCAAAAACAACAACGACAAAAAATCAAAAAAATAAATACAATGGAAACCAAGGAAGTCCACTGTTGCCTGCTGAAGATGCTGAGCATGAAGCCTGCTCTCCTGATTCCAACAAGAAACTAGCAAGTGTAGAGTGACAGGAAGAACACGCTCATAGCCAATGGAGACTTGCTCCTGGACAAATTAGAAAAATTATCCTGGAATTCCGGCACTTTGGGAGGCCCAGGTGAGTAGATTGCTTAAGCCCAAGAGTTTGGGACCAACATGGCAAAACCCCATCTCTAAAAAAAAAAAATACAAAAGTTAGCTGGGTGTGGTGGTGGGTGCCTGTGGCCTCAGCAATTCAGGGGGCTGAGGTGGGAGGATCACCGGTGCCTGGAGGCGGAGGCTGCAATGAGCCGAGATCCCGCCATTGCACTCCAGCCTGAGCAACAGAGGGAAACCCCGCCTCAAATATAAATAAATAAAAAAAATAAAAGACTTAAAAGGGTGCTAATTTTCTTCCTTTAGGAGTCAGTTGTCGTAAATATTTTTAACAGCAAATTCACGTACCACGCTATTCACCTATTTAAAGTGTACAGTTCAATTGTTTTCAGTATATACAAAAAATTGTACAACCATCACCGCAGTCTAATTTAGAGCATTTTTGTCCTCCTCTAAAGAACCCTGTACTCATGAGCAATCTCTCCTTGCTCCGACCCCTCTAGCCCTCAGCAACCACTAATCTTTTTTTGTCTTTATGGATTTGCCTATTCTGGACATTTCATATAAATGGAATCACACATTATGTGGTCTTTCGTGACTAGCTGCTTTCACTTGGCAGAATGTTTTCAAGGTTCTCCTGTCTTGTAGCACGGATCAGTGCTGGAGTCAGTTATTCAATGCTGCATCCTGAGTTCGCGTAAAACCACCTAAAATATGAGTCCCCCACTTCAGGAAGCGCTGCTGTAATGAATAAAGAACGTTTTGGGGGAATCTTAGCTCAGTCTCTTGCTAGTTCCGAGCGGGCTGGTTCAGGCTTCCCTGCCATGGTGTTGGGGGAGGAGGTTTATCTTTCAGCTGTCCTTGGGACTGGGCAGGAACTGGTTCCAATGTTACTGCCACTCTATCCTCCTTCCTAAATCAGGACTCTGGGCGCTCCTGGGAATCACTGTCTGTTCCTGCTCTCTGGGAGTGTGAATGAGTCACTGGGTGAGCATGTCAGCAGCACCTGTGTGTGCTGGTCTGGGGTGAGAAGCCTGGGCCAAGGGGCAACGGAGGGGAGAAAGAAGCAGGCGGCCACGAGGTCAGCAAGTGGCTGCTCGACTCATACCCCGCAGCCAGCATTCCCTGCCTCTACCCTTACACTTGTTTTGGCTGCAGGAAGCTGTTTTAGGTGGAAATCGTTTGATACGTGTAGGTGCTGTCTTCCCAAACACACCGTGCTCAGTGATTGCCCCAGCTCTGCAGTATGTACTTTTTGTAGTTCTTGGTAGCTACCAACGTTTTCAGCCCCTAAATAGTATAGTACTTGTTTTAATCCTCTCATGGATTGTGTGAGGTAGGTGATCTTTTCCGCATTCACAGACGGGAAACTGAGCTTCAGGATGGTCACATGACTTGTCCAAGGTCTTATGATTAGGAATCGTTGCGGCTGGGATTTGAACTGGAGTGCAAAGCGTTTGCTCTTGACCCAATAGGAAGGCAGAGGCTGTGGTGGGGAGCAGCTTGGTTATGGATACCCAGAAGGCAGAGCCGTCTCTTGTGTACCACGAAACGGGGCATTTACCTTGGGTACTCTCTTTGGAGTGTGTTACTGGAGCTTGAGCAGAGACTTGGGGAATCTTCTGGGGATGAGGCCAGTAATGTGTTGGGAACACTCATGGAGATGAGGAACACTCAGTGTTATGTTTTGGAGCCTTGCCCTATACCCAAGGACCTCCAAGTCTTTCTATTAGTCAAGACCCTTTGGGAAATGAGTGAAAGAACTCAACCAACTTGAACAAAGAGAATTGATCGATTCATGTAAAGAAAATATCCAGGATAAGACTGCCTTCAGGTATGGCTGGATCCAGGGGTTTAAAGGTTGAAGCTGCTGCCTCACCTCACAACCCCGGTTCATATTCCTGAATCAATTGGGGAGTTGTGTAGGGGGAATGCTGTTTTGATTGGCTGGTGCCGGGTCAGGTGCATATCCTTGGAAGTGAAGGCATGGTCATTCCTACTTGAACCACATAAACCAAGAAGGAAACCTGGGACCCTTGCCTCAGAAGCAGTGGAAAGGGATGCTGAGCAGGTTTCAGACCATAGGTATCCTCCTCGTGGTTGGTAGAGAAGCCACCATTCACCTCTCTGGCTTTACTGCCAACTTGCCATGGGACCCCGAGCAAGCTGCTTCCCTTCTCTGAGTCTCAGTTTCCCCATGTGAACAGTGGTGATCTTTAAGGGCTCATACAGCTCTGAACTTCTGAGGCCAACAGGTTTTGTCTAGCCAACAGCTTGGCATCCTAGCTTGACAGATCCAAGCTATGACTTAGGAATGCATGGCCTTCAGAAACCCTGGGGTGGGATCTGGGGCTGGGTGCTTGGCCTCTTGTTCTTGCCCATCCTGGCAGGGTACAGCCTGTGATGTGGGAGGGAAGGGTTCTGAGGAGGGTTCTTTGCACATCCCCAGCATTCTCCGTCTATAATTGGCTCCAAATGAAATGATCTCATCCCTGAGCACTGAGGAAGAAAGGGTGGGGGTGAAACAGCTCGCTGGCAGCATCTGACATAGTTTGTGACTAACCCGCTTCCCTCCTGAGGCAGGGAGAGACTGTCCGCTCTCTCGAAGACAATGTACAATTTTGAGAAAAAAAACAACAAAGTCTTGGTAAATAGATTGAGGAGGCTCCAGCCTCCTGAGCTTTCGGGAGGCCCAAGGCATTTCTCCTCTCTGCCCAAACCAGGTGTCTTTTTGACCCCGGCTCACAAGTCAACCTGACCCATGCTATTACCAATCCCCAAACTTTTCCCATCAAACTCTGGCCGGGAAGGTTGTGAGTGTAGCCAGTCCACCAAGCAATTTGTCCCTTATGGATTCTTGATTGAGTTTTGTGGCCGACTGAAGCTTGTTTAAATGCCCATACATTAATTTTGAAAGATGAGCTCCTAATCAACTTTTAAAAAGCTTGTCACAGCACCATCTGTTTGGCGTTTGTCACTATTGCATTACATAAGAGGAAAGACATTTTTAAAGAATGCGGCTACATTTAGTAATTGGATCGCCGGAGAGGAGCCAAGCCGGGGCGGATGGCACCGTGATTCAGAAATGCCACGGGCCCTTCTCTGGGGTGTGGCGGCCTCCCCAAATTCCACGCGGTCTTGGCAGAGACCTGAGTGCAGCCCAGCTTGGGAGACAGGCTTGGGGTGTCTTCTCTTCCTCTTGCCTTGGTCTCCCTCTTATTTTTCCCATTCGTTCTCCCTCACCCCTTGCCACCACAGTAATTAGCAGTGACCAAGTGGCTTCACTTCCCTGAGTCCCAGCTTCCTCATCTGGAAAACGGGATTCACAAGAGCACCATCTTACAGCGCTGGTGTGAGGTTTAGATGCATTATTGCCTACGGTGCCTGGCACGTGGTGAGTGCTTTATAAGTATTGCTATTTTATAAAGCTATGTCTGATGCATAGTAGGTGCTGTATAGGTGTTCATTTTCCTTCCTTTTCCCCTTCTTTCCATTTAGTTATTTATTTAGAGACAGGGTCTTGCTCCATTGCCTAGGCTGGAGCACAGTGGTGCAAGCTCGGCTCACTGCAGCCTTCCTCTCCCAGGTTCAAGTGACTCTCCCACCTCAGCCTCCTGATTAGCTGGAACTACAGGTGTGCACCACCGTTTTTTTGTATTTTTTGCTAGTGACGGGGTTTCACCGTGTTGGCCAGGCTGGCCTGGAACTCCAGCCTGGTCTGCAACTCAAGTCATCTGTCCGCCTCGGCCTCCCAAAGTGCTGGGATTACAGATGTGAGCCACTGTGCCCGACCCCTTCCTTCCACTTAATTCAACAAGTTCTTAGGAAGTGCCCACGTTTGAGGCGAGCTGGCTTCATGCTCATGCAAGGCCGTTTGCACAGGGCCCCAGCATGCTTTGCACTCAGAAGCAACCTGAGCTTGGTTTAGTGTTCTGCTGTCGCTGGCTTGACATTCTTAACTTTTGAACAAGGGGCTCTGCATTTTCATTTTGTATTGGACCCCGCAAATTATGTAGCCGGTCCCCTCTGGAGGTCTAGAATGATGTTATGTCTTATTTGACCCTCCAATGTTGAAAATAACAATGGAGTCAACATTTTAAAATCAGGAGAGTTCACACAAAAGTCTGGCTTATTTTAGAAAATTAGAACATCTTGCCACTGTGAGTCTGCATTCCCACACACTGCCACACGGGCTGGAGCTGGAGTCCTCTACACAGGCCACATCCGCCACTATCCCCACCACTCCTGGAGGCTTCGGACTGAGTCTCTTTGTCCATTTACAGAGCTTCCAGCATGATGGCTGGGATGATGGGCTTTGCAGCCAGATATGTATTCAGCTTTACTACTATTCAATCATCTCAGTAACCTCTCTCTTAGGATAGTAAGGATCAAACTAGTTAATATATGCAAAGCATCTGGAATATGTTGTACTGTTACTGCTACTGTACTGCTCTATCCTGGTGCAGAAGCTCAGACCCCAAGTCTGAGAGCTGCCCCTCCAGGAGCTGGAAGCTGCACTTGGCCGCTGGCTATGAGAGCGTCTCCACCTGCCATCCCGCGCAGCATCCCTTGTCAATGTTCACTTTCTTTCCCTCTGCCTGCAGCACCAGAGTTCACACCTTGGGCCTGCCCTCCTAGCATTATTTTGAGGGAAGGCCTTCTGTCCTGTAAATAGGCTGGGTCATCCCTGCCTCAGGGCCTTTGCACCTGCTGCACTTGCTTCCTAGAATACTTCTTTTCCCATAGCTTTGCTTGGCCATCTTCTTATTTTGGTCTAGCTCAAATGGTACTTCCTCAGGGAGGCTTTTCCTGATCACCTAAGAAAAGTAGCCCTGTCCTCTTTCCCCCGTCACACACATGCTCCTATATTATTTTCTTCCCAGAATTGGTTTGTCATGTATCTCCCAGAGGACCAGGTCTTCCTTGGTCACTGCTGTGTCACCAACACTTAGGCCATTGCCTGGCACATGGAAGGTGTTCGATAATTATCTGTTGAATGAATGAATGAAGGAAGAAAAGAACTCATCAGCTCCTCATGACTACCCTGTAAAGTAGGGACAAGAGACCTGAGTCATGGAGAAGGGACTCCTCAAGGTCACGCAGCCAAGAGGGGGCAGGAAGGGCAGTGAGGACCCAGGTTTGCTGCTTCTACACGTCCTATTCCCCCAACCTCCCAGGTGGGAAGCAGGATGGATGTTTTGGATCTTTGGCTCACCCAGCCACCCAGAACGGGTCAAGTGTGCAGCAAGGTCCAGGACACAGCGTCTGAGGGTGGTGAGAGCGAGTCAGCTAGGCAGCCAGGAGGCAAGACTGTTTACAGGGACTGGCGGCTGTTGCCATGACAACCGGACAGCCTACAGCTTCCTGCGTCACCAGGGACGCAGGTTTGCTCTTGGCTGGGATGCAGTGGGGACAATGGAGGGGGGCGGGAAACACGGGGACCCTAAACACTCAGTCTGGGGGAAGGGGGTTCTCATTTCTGGTTTTCTTTTTTTGAGATGGAGTCTCACTCTGTCGCCCAGGCTGGAGTGTAGTGGTGCGATCTTGGCTCACTGCAACCTCTGCCTCCAGGGTTCAAGTGATTTTCCTGCCTCAGCCTCCCGAGTAGCTGGGATTACAGGTGTGTGCTACCATGGCCAGCTAATTTTTGTATTTGTAGTAGAGATGGGGTTTCACCATGTTGCCCAGGCTGGTCTAGAACTCTTGACCTCAAGTGATCCACTCAACTCAGCCTCCCAAAGTGCTGGGATTACAGGTGTTAGCCACGGTGCCCGGCGGGGAGTTCTCATTTCTGAGAATTGTTTGAAGGCTGGGAGGGCCTGGTGAGGCAACATGTGCGTGCGTGCGTGCGTGTGTGTGTGTGTGTGTGTGTGTGTGTGTGTGTGGTGTCTGGGCTGTGTGGAGTCAGGCTGCCTGAGTTTGAGTCTCAGCTTTGCCTCTTCTGTGCTGTGGCATATGGGCAAGTGAGTTAACCTCTAAGTGCTTTAGTTCCCTCTGATGTCAAATGAGGTGAATGGTAATACCTCATAGGACTGTTATGAGGATTAAATGAGGTAATACTCTCACAGCACTTACCATGTACCTTGCATTGTTCCTTAATTCTTGGCATCAATCTGCATCTGACTCTGGGTTGCCTTCCTGCTGGTGTGGTGGGAAATTTGGTCTCAGTCATCCTCAGGGATCCCCACTTCCCTGGCCTTTTTCATTCATTCAACAAATACTTTTTTGTTGAATACCTATTCATGCTGTCATGCTGCAACAATACTGCGTGGCAGGTATTGTTCTAAAGGCTGAGACCATAGCAGTGAACAAAGCAAGCAAAAACCCCTGCAAGAGTAGAGCTGATGCTCTAGTGAGGTAGAGAGATATCAAATATGCCATGAAGGAAAATAGCTATTATATCAGATGATAATAAGTACTACGAAGGAAAAGAAAGCAGGGCTGGGAGATTCCAGCTGTAAGGGGGATGTTGCATTTTAGAAAGCAGTGGGGTTGTGAGTGTGTCAGGGAAGGCCTCACTGAGAAAGTGACCTTTGAGGACAACTTGAAGGAGGTAAAAGAGGGAGTTACATGGTTATTTGCAAGAGCATTTCAAGCAGAGGGAACAGCAAGTGCAAAGGCCCTGAGGCAGAGGCACGAACATGTATGTGACAGTGTCGTGTAGTCAAATCTCTCGAAGCGTCTGTGTGTGTGATGTTATGTGGCACACATTGGTGGCATAGAGGTGGTTATGCCTGTACACATGGGGGGCAATGCACACATGTGTTTCTTCATGTACAGGTTTGCTGTGTTCAGTCACAGAGGCTGTGCCTGCACCATTCAGGGAGCGCCATTCACACGGATTGCAATGAAATGGGACCTCCTGGAGCTGTGCAGTGCAGTGGCCCTGAGCATAGATATAAGTAAATTGATGTAAAATGTCTGTGAAAATGTTCATATGTGTATGTGTCTGGATATTTAAATATAAGTGACATGCAAATATGTGTATATGGATGTCTTAAAATGTTGATATTTCATTCCTCATGGACTTTTGCTTGAATATTGGTTTTAAAAAATATTGCATTAGATATTATTTCTCTTGATTACTCAGTTTTTGGGTGCATCTTACATTTGCATCAGAGGCAAGTGCATCACTCTGTTTACGGTGGTCCTCACCCTGCCCGGGGCTGGGCAGTGAATGTGCAGGAGGCAGGGATGAGGCAAAGGAAGCCTCTCCTGGCTCCTTCCAGCATCTGGGCTCATCAGCACATGACTAGAATCCAAACCCAACCTGAGCACATTTTGTTCCTTTAAAACAATATTTATTGAGTGCTGACTGTGCGCCAGGGACTCTGCATACATTATTTTATTTTATCCTTACCACTATCTCTGGGGGTAGATATTTGCTCATTCAATTGAACAGACATTTGCTTAGGACATACTATGTGCCAAGAGTATAAGCTGGCATTTGTGCTGGCCTGGAAGCCACTCGCAATTTTTCTGGTAACAGCACCCCAGTTTTCCTTTAGAGAACCTAACCTCTTCCCTTTACTGTGGTTCCACCTGGGCCTTCTGTACCCGTCCCTAAGACTCCAGGGGTGGGCGTGTGATCCAGGTCACCCAAACAGCATACTCCATCCCTCTTGCTCCTATAACTAGAGATTAGTTATAGGATGAGTATCTGACCCAAGCTGGTCCAATCAGAGTGAATCCTGGAATTTTTGCTGCTCTGTTGGGAAAAAGAGCTCCCTTTCCATCAAGATTTCTAGCTGTAAGAATTCTATAACCCTGGAATTCCCAGTGAGAGTCCACTACAAGGAGAGAGAGAGGAAAAACTCATCCCTTATGATATCTTTAGAGGCCCTGGATCCAGCCACACCTGAAGTTAGTTGCCCTAAGATTTTTCAATTCTATGAGTTTATATTCGTTTTTCTTTTCAAAAAACAGCTTGAGAGGGTTTGAAACCCTGAAAAGCTGAAATCCTGCGCTTGGCATCTTGGTGCATTACCTCCTTTAATTCAGAGATGAATCTCATGGGGAAGGGGCTGTGATTGTGAAAGAACTGATCCTCAGGGAGGGAGGTGACTTATCCAAGGTCACACAGCAGGCTAGTAGTTGGAGCTTGCATTCAAGCCCAGGTCTCTGCTCCTGAGCCTTTCTGCCATTCCACACGGTCTCAGCTCTGGACAAGAGGGTCTGTATGAGTATTAGTGAAATAGACCTGAGTCCTGTTATGGCCACTGTTTTGCTCTGTGACCTTGATCAAGTCATTTCGCCAATATGAGCCTTAGCTTCCCATCTGAAAAAATGGTAGTGCTTACTCCATCGTGTTGTGAGGAGATGATCCATGTAAGTAAAGCACTCATAACAGGGCTAGACATGTAGTAAGGAACATAAACTATTATTACCATGGCTCTCTTTTTTTAGATTTTTTTTTTAAATTTCATAGATTTTTTTGGGGAATAGGTGGTGGTATTTGGTTACATGAGTAAGTTCTTCAGTGATGATTTGTGAAATGTTAGTTGCACCCATCACCCGAGCAGTATACGCCTCACCCAAGCAGTATACACTGAACCCAAGCAGTATACACTGAATTTGTAATTTTTTATCCCTCACCCCCTTCCCACCTTTCCCCCTGAGTTCCCAAAGTTTATTGTATCATTCTTTTTTCTTTCTTTCTTTTTTTCTTTTCTTTTTTTTTTTTTTTTTTTAGACAGAGTTTCACTCTTGTTACCCAGGCTGGAGCGCAATGGCTCGATTTCGGCTCACCGCAACCTCCGCCTCCTGGGTTCAGGCAATTCTCCTGCCTCAGCCTCCTGAGTAGCTGGGATTACAGGCACGTGCCACCATGCCCAGCTAATGTTTTGTAGTTTTAGTAGAGACGGGGTTTCACCGTGTTGACCAGGATGGTCTCGATCTCTTGACCTTGTGATCCACCTGCCTCGGCCTCCCAAAGTGCTGGGATTACAGGCGTGAGCCACCGCGCCCGGCCTTCTTTTTTTTTTTTCTTGAGATGGAGTCTCACTCTGTCACCCAGGCTGGAGTGCAATGGTGCGATCTTGGCTCATTGCAACCTCCGCCTCCTAGGTTCAAGTGATTCTCTTGCCTCAGCCTCCCGAGTAGCTGGGATTACAGGTGTGTGCCACCAAACCTGGCTAATTTTTGCATTTTTAGTAGAGGCAGGATTTCACCATGTTGGCCAGCCTGGTCTTGAATTCCTGACCTCAGGTGATCTGCCCACCTTGGCCTCTCAAAGTTCTGGGGTGAGCCACTGCACCCGGCCCATTGTACCATTCTTATGCCTTTGCATCCTCATAGCTTAGCTCCCGCTTATGACTGAGAACATAATGTTGGTTTTCCATTCGTACCATGGCTCCCTCTTTGAGGGAAGAAAGGGGATCCAGGGCGTTCCCCGGCCACCCCTCTCCCATCCTTCCTGATGGCCACAGGCTCCCAGCAGCCCTTGATGGCACCTTCATCCATCTTCCGCCAGACACACAGAACTGGCTCGCTTACCCGGGAAGCAGGCACTTAAGGAGATGCTTCCCTGGTTTCTCTTTTAATTTTCTTTACATAAATTTCACATTTCCTGGAATAGAGAACTTGAACGTCTGGACTCATTTGGAAATCGAGTCAGCAAAGGGCCTCATTTATATTAATGGGGCCCTGAATCTGACTTGAGACAAGACAGAGACAAGGTTGGATGGCAGCGGCTCCCAGGCTGAGTCCTCCAGGCTGAGCTCAGACGCTGCCTTGAGAAGCAGATGCCTCCAGATTTAGGCTGGGACTGTTCCCATTGTGTGGGGGCTCCTGGATGCAAGGGCAGTGTTGACACCCCTCTCCCACTGAAACTTTCCCAATGGCTGCTCACTGCTGCCAGGGGGAACTCCAGCCTGCTTGCCCTGCTTGACAAGGGGCTGCATGATGGACCCCTGCTAGCCTCCCCGCTTCTGCCCACCATTCTGCTCCCTCATCCTTCTTTAGCCCTGCTGGCCTCCTGAGAGCATTCCTGCCTCAGGGTCTTTGCACTCGCTGTGCCCTCTGCCTGAAAGGTTGTTATCCCAGCTCTTCCCATAGCTAGCTCCTTCCATGTCTTTCTCACAGTCACCATCCCAGGGAGACCTTCCTTGATTGCCATCTGGAGGAACAGTTTCTCTGCATCACACCCATTTCATTTTCTCCATCACAATAAGCAATAGCTTATATTTGCTTGTTTACTTATTTGACTATTTATTTATTGGCTGTCTTTCACATGAGGGTATAAACCCCATGAGAGCACAGACTACATGTCTCATTCACCTTTGTCCCCCTAGGATCTGGCTCAGAGAGACAGATTTCTTAAGCACCTTGATAAATATTTGTGGAATGAATGTTTGCGCTCATTCAGCAAACCCTTTCTGAGTGCCTGCCTGGTGCCAGGCTCTTTCTGGGTGCTGGGAACACAGGTAAGAAAAAGACAAAAGGCCAGGTGCAGTGACTCACACCTGTAATCCCAGTGCTTTGGGAGGCCGAGGCGGGTGGATCACTTGAGGTCAGGAGGTTGAGACCAGCCTGGCCAACATGGTGAAACTCTGTCTCTACTAAGGATGCTGGGTGTGGTGGCATGCGCCTGTAATCCCAGCTACTCAGAATTGCTTGAACCTGGGAGGTGGAGGTTACAGTGAGCTGAGATCGTGCCACTACACTCCAGCCTGGGCGACAGAGCGAGACTCTGTCTCAATTAAAAAAAAAAAAAAGACAAGATTGTTGCCTACATGGAACTTGTGGTCTGGCGCAGAAAGGAAAACACCATAGTAACGAACATTTATTGAGTGTGACAAGGATTTTACAAAGAGACATCACATTTCATCCTGGCTACAGACCTCAGAACTAACTGTTACTCATACAAGTTCATGAAGCACAGAGAGGTGAAATAACTTGCTCAGGGTCAGACAGCTAGAAAACAGGAGCCAAGACTGTGGCCAGGCCATCCGGCTCCCCGCTCTGCTGGGTTAACCAGCTCACTGAAGCCACTGGGAGTTAAAGCCTTGTGCTGTGAAACCTGTAATGGGGGAGGCTCTGGAGGCTGCGGGAGCTCAGAAAAAGCACCTGATCTATTAGGTTGGTGCAAAAGTAATTGCAGTTCTTGTCATTGAAAGTGATAGCAAGAATCACAATTGCTTTTCACAACCTAATAGCTTTTGACAGGGGAAAGGATGAGCAAAGCCTCCTGAAAGATGCAGTGCCTTAGCTGTGTCTAGAACTTATTTATTTTTAACTTTACATTATAGCTTAAGAACTTTTAATATCTCCACACTGTCCACAGTTAAAATTTTAAGTAATGCATACTATTCCAGCGAGAGGCAGCATCATCCATCATTGCTGGGGAGTTTTGTGCTTGCAATTTTCAGGCTCTCTTTAATGCTTTGAGGACCGACTCCCTGGCTTACTGGGGTAATGTAGCGCTCAGGTTTCAGCTCCTCCCTTTACTTGGCTCTGAGGATTCTACATCCCTGGAACAACGGGCATCTCCAAAGTCACCAACATGGGACATAATGGATAACTAGAAGTCCCTGCCCCCTCCTCCATCCCTGCCTTGATACCAGGTGAGATCCCCACCCCAAGAAGGGCCGAGCTTACATTATCTCCAGCTCAGCGGGTCCTTGGAAATTAGATTGCTTTAAGGAAATAAAGAAATGTGATATTTCAACCAGACCCTAGGAACAGCGGTTGCCTCTGCAGAGGGAAACCGGGTGGCCAAAGGATGGGGTAAGAAGGAAATTTTCAGGCCAGGTGCGGTGGCTTATACTTGTAATCCCAGGACTTTGGGAGACTGAGGCGAGAGGATCCCTTGAACTCAGTCCAGGAGTTTGAGACCAGCCTGGACAACATGGGAAAACCCTGCATCAAAAAAAAACAAAAAACAAAAAACAAAACCAAAATTAGCTGGGTGTGGTGGTGCATGCCTGTTGTCCCAGCTACTCAGGAGGCTGAGTTTGGAGGATTAGCTGAGCCTGAGTGTTTGAGGCTGCAGTGAGCTGTGGTTGCGCCACTGAACTCCAGCCTGGGTGACAGAGGGAGACCCTGTCTCAAAGGATAAAAGAAAAGAAGGAGATTTTCTTGCAGACCCTTTTATATCTTTCCCATTGGGCACCACGTGAAATTATTACTGAGTAAAAACATTAAAACATTTAGAAACAAAATGTAGAAGAAGTTAATGTGTTATTTCTGCATATCAGTCTGTGGACTAAGCTTCATACGATGCATTCATTTTCTTTATCTACTTCAACCATGTGGGAAGTAGCTATTATTGCCTCTGCCTGACAACTAAAGAAACGGAGGCCTGAAGAGGTTCACATGGTGTGTTAGTGTCAGAACCGAGACTCCACTGGGTGCAGTAGTTCACGCCTGTCGCCTCAGTACTTTGAGAGGCTGAGGCAGGTAGATTGCTTGAGCCCAGGAGTTTGAAACCAGCCTGGGTAACATGATGAGACCCCATTTCTATTAAAATAAAAAATACAATAATTAGCCAGGCGTGGTGGTACACACCTGTAATCCCAGCTACTTGGGAGGCTGCGGCAGGAGAGTCGCTTGAACCCCAGAGGTGGAGGTTGCAGTGAGCTGAGATTGCACCACTACACTCCAGCCTGGGTGACACAGTGAGACTCTGTCTCAATTAAAAAAAAAAAAAGAATCGAGAGTCTGCTCCAGGCCTTCTGACCCATCCAGGGAGTCTCCACTTCTCCACGTATCTCTTCCTTCACCGGCAGAAGCCATGCTGAGGTGTGGACCGAAGGGCGGGGATACCTCTGTAGTCATCACCTACAGTAGTGTGGTCACATGTCGCACTGGTGTTATGCAATCTGGGCTTAAATCCTGGGGCTGTCCCTGGCCTGCTGTGTGACCTTAGGTAAATCACGAAACCTCCTGGGTCTTGGCTCTGTGGCAGCTGA